TGCCAGGATTCGAAGGCACCCCCCAAAAAAGTTTGTCTCTGTGTGTGTGTGTGTGTGAGAGAGAGAGAGAGAGAGGGAGAGGGAGAGGGAGAGAGGGAGAGAGGGGGAATCAATCAAGATCCTTACTCTTGAGCAGCATTCAGCTGGAAGCTTTTTATAGAAATCAATTGATAGAAAGCCTTCACTGGAGGTATTTATTGAATAACAACTACTCCAGAACCAGACTGTCAATGTCTTTAATATTACCTGTGACTTTGTCTTTCTATTTCTTAAAACAAACCATTGTTTTATTTTCTGTAATTACTGATTTTAAACATTGCTGGTTTTATTGGGATGGTTTTATTTGAAGTATTTGTATTGCATTTGTATTTATACTGTTACCTTGTAAATTGCTCTAGAAGGAAGAGCAACACAATAAATAAGTAACATATCTACAACTGAAGCACAATCTCTTAGGAACGTCTCGGGACTGTGTGCAACAAATACTTAAACTTCATATTTAGGAATTAATCAAAGAAAAGTATCGCCAATATCTTCTCATTACATCTAATGCTGTCTTAGAACATCCCAAATTATTTTCCAGCCTGGAAATAAAAGAACTGAAGTTGGCTGTGCGAAGCTCAGCATTTCAAATACTAGACTATGTTACTGACCATTTATCATAAATTCACATAATTAAACATTCTTTCAATGTAACCACAGCCACATAATGGTAACCTAGACTTTGCCAATCTTTCCATGGGCAAATTTTGCAGTTTCTTATATGTTTAAGCAAGCTTTGAAAACAGTCTTATTTTGGAGTGTTTTTTAAATAATTAGTCTTAATCTGGGCTAGCATGATTTTTAAAAAGTCTTTTTAGCTGTTCTTTTTTATTTTCTGACATCTTTATTGCTTTTGCATTTTGCAAATACAAGGTATCAACAGATAAATTTAAAAAAACATGTGTTCTGCACCATAATGCATAGCTTTTATACGTACTGTATGCACATTTCTAGATTCACATTTCTACTGGCAAAGACAAATGCATGAATTTCAAGCAATTCTAGACACTACTCTATCTTTTTATCCTTTATATTTGTAAGAGTAGAACTAAAACAAGGAAGGGCTCAGTGCAGCTTTGACTATTTTGGCTTTTATTTGAAAAGGAAAAGAATGGAGATGTCATGGAAACTAAACCCAATTCTCTTCTTTCCTGATAACTTTTTCTGTGATAAGAAATGTAATTTAATGCAACAGCATAACAAGAATCAAGTCTTTAATTTGCATCTTTGGGTCTCTGCCATTTCCTCTGAGCTAAAAATGAAGGACACAGAGTCTAAAAGAAACAGACTAAAGGCATAAAGGTGGCAAAATCTTACCTGATGCAGAGACTCAGGGCGAAGACTCCAGAAGTCCCATACCATGTCTGGATCTTTCAGATGTGTCTGTGGATTCCTCTTTTGGGTATGGATAAAAGATGGAAACTAACGAAGTACAAAAAGAAAGAATTAAAGTTATACATTTACATTAAAGTTAAATCTATTACAGATTTCCTGCACTTGTCCTGAGCTTGTTTTAGAAATATACATTTGTGTATTATAAACAATCTCTTTGAATTTATTGTGCCAACTACTAAATTATAAGGGATGAAAATAAAAATAAACAAACCCACTGAATTTTTACATACAATCATTAAGACTGTAATGGTGAAGACTGCAATATTGTTTCTGCCTGCTTACTTCTACGTTCAGATACCCATTGTAACAGGAGAACTCTTGTGAAAATATTATTTCAAATGAAGTTCAGCCCTAGGTAGATAGATACGTTTGGAATTATACCTCCCCATAAAACATTTTGAAGAATTAATAATAATTTGGGAGTACTACTGAAACAGCAGAAAGTAGTTTGGGCTGATACAATAAGACAATTTTCTATTTTGTCTGACTTTAAAGTTTGTCTGGAAGCTTTAAACCCAAGGGTAAAATTCAGCTGTCTCTTTGATTATCAAAAAGAGCTAGTAGTAATTATTACCTTAAGGAATGGAAACCATTGATGGACTGTTTGCAAAATGCAGGCGGGCCGAAGCTTACATGGGGATTTGAAGATTAGATTATAAATGTAATGGGATATGTTTTGACAAA